GGACGTCTCCGGACCGTTTGTCTTTAGAGAGGACGTGTCCGGACGCTTTGTCTTCAGAGAGGACGTCTCCGGACGCTTTGTCTTCAGAGAGGACGTCTCCGGACGCTTTGTCTTTAGAGAGGACTTCCCCCCGACCGTTTGTCTTTAGAGAGGACGTCTCCGGACCGTTTGTCTTTAGAGAGGACGTCTCCGGACCGTTTGTCTTTAGAGAGGACTTCCCCCCGACCGTTTGTCTTTAGAGAGGACGTCTCCGGACCGTTTGTCTTTAGAGAGGACGTCTCCAGACCGTTTGTCTTTAGAGAGGACGTCTCCGGACCGTTTGTCTTTAGAGAGGACGTCTCCAGACCGTTTGTCTTTAGAGAGGACGTCTCCGGACCGTTTGTCTTTAGAGAGGACTTCCCCCCGACCGTTTGTCTTTAGAGAGGACGTCTCCGGACCGTTTGTCTTTAGAGAGGACGTCTCCAGACCGTTTGTCTTCAGAGAGGACGTCTCCGGACCGTTTGTCTTCAGAGAGGACGTCTCCAGACCGTTTGTCTTTAGAGAGGACGTCTCCGGACCGTTTGTCTTTAGAGAGGACGTCTCCAGACCGTTTGTCTTTAGAGAGGACGTCTCCGGACCGTCTGTCTTTAGAGAGGACGTCTCCGGACCGTTTGTCTTTAGAGAGGACGTCTCCAGACCGTTTGTCTTTAGAGAGGACGTCTCCGGACGATTTGTCTTCAGAGAGGACGTCTCCAGACCGTTTGTCTTTAGAGAGGACGTCTCCAGACCGTTTGTCTTTAGAGAGGACGTCTCCGGACCGTTTGTCTTTAGAGAGGACGTCTCCAGACCGTTTGTCTTTAGAGAGGACGTCTCCGGACCGTTTGTCTTTAGAGAGGACGTCTCCGGACCGTTTGTCTTTAGAGAGGACGTCTCCAGACCGTTTGTCTTTAGAGAAGACGTCTCCGGACCGTTTGTCTTTAGAGAGGACGTCTCCGGACGCTTTGTCTTTAGAGAGGACGTCTCCGGACCGTTTGTCTTTAGAGAGGACGTCTCCGGACCGTTTGTCTTTAGAGAGGACGTCTCCGGACCGTTTGTCTTTAGAGAAGACGTCTCCGGACGCTTTGTCTTTAGAGAGGACGTCTCCGGACCGTTTGTCTTTAGAGAAGACGTCTCCGGACGCTTTGTCTTTAGAGAGGACGTCTCCGGACCGTTTGTCTTTAGAGAAGACGTCTCCGGACGCTTTGTCTTCAGAGAGGACGTCTCCGGACGGTCTGTCTTTAGAGAGGACGTCTCATGCTCTGTTCACCTGATGTCCCCCGGCTCTGTGGAGCTTCATCAGTCCCCTATAATGGGTTAGTTGTTCATGCTATAACAGCTATCAGTTAGCATAGTAGTAACCCTTTATCCAGCTCTTGTGCTTTTCAATGAACAGTTATTAGATTATAACCAATATATGATTCATCCAAAACAACAATGTTTATATAATGACTCTCACTGAACGAAGCCACAGGTCCGCACTGCAAGGCTAACCATGGGGGGTAAATAATAACTCAGATTTACATTCGAGAGACAACAACTTGATAGCTTTTTAGATGGGTAGCTAACTAGGTAGATAGCCAACGTTAGCTAGATTTACAGATAAATAGATGGTTCAAGGTTCAAGGTTCAAGGTTCTTTATTGTCAAACTAACATAGCTACAGAGTAATTATGCAGTTGAAAATCTTATGTCACAGGCTTCTCCAACAATGCAACATAATAACATAATAACAATAAGAGCAAGAGCAATACAAAAATAATAATAGTTATAAAAATTAAATAAAGTTATGATGTGGAATAGTGCAGTATGAGTCTATATACAAGTTATTGGAATGATATATATATATATTAGGTATTAGATACATATTACTGAGTAGCAGATGAATGTTTGATGTTGTTTCAACAGTTCAATTTTTTAACAGTCTCACTGCCCGCGGGAAGAAACTGTCTCCGAATCTTCTTGTCCTTGCCAGGATGCTGCGGTAACGTCTGCCAGACGGCAACAGAAAGAACAGTTTGTGGCTGGGGTGATGGGGGTCTTTGATAATCCGTAGTGATTTCTTCCTGAGCCGCTGGGAGTAAAGGTCCTCCATGGATGGCAGCTCCGTCCTGGTGATGTACTGTGCAGTTTTCACCACCCTCTGTAAAGCCTTACGATCGAGGTCGGTGCAGCTGCCGTACCAGGCCGTCATGCTGCCAGTGAGGATGCTCTCTATGGTGCACCTGTAGAAGTTGCAGAGTATCCTGGAGTCCATTTTGAACCTCCTCAACCTGCGGAGGAAGAAGAGCCGCTGTCGAGCTTTCTTGGTGATGGTGGTGGTGTGAAGAGTCCATGTCAGGTCCTCAGTGATGTGGACCCCAAGGAACCTGAAGCTTTTGACTCTCTCCACCGTAGTCCCATTGATGGCGATGGGGGCGTGTCCCTCTCCCTGCTGCTTCCTGTAATCCACAATCAGCTCCTTTGTTTTGCTGATGTTGAGATGGAGGTTGTTCTCCTGGCACCAAGATGTCAGGTTTTCGACCTCCTCTCTGTACGCCGTCTCGTCATCGTCTGTGATCTGGCCGATGACGGTCGTGTCATCAGCAAACTTCACGATGGTGTTGGAGCTGTGTGTGGCCACGCAGTCGTGGGTGAACAGGGAGTAGAGGAGAGGGCTGAGCACGCAGCCTTGAGGGGCACCGGTGTTGAGAATCAGGGTGGAGGATGTGATATTTCCCACCCGCACTGCCTGGGGTCTGCCCGTCAGGAAGTTCAGGATCCAGTCACAGAGGGCGCTGTTGAGCCCGAGGTCTCTGAGCTTGATGGCCAGCTTGGAGGGCACAATGGTGTTGAATGCTGAACTGTAGTCAATGAACAGCATTCTCACATATGTGTTCCTGTTCTTCGGGTCCAGGTGTGAGAGGGCAGTGTGGAGGGTGAGGGCTATGGCGTCGTCTGTGGACCTGTTTGCTCTGTAGGCAAACTGCAGGGGGTCCAGAGATTCAGGGAGGGAGGAGGTGATGAATAATTTGACTAACCGCTCAAAGCACTTCATTATGATGGAGGTGAGTGCTACTGGGCGGTAGTCGTTGGGGCAGGTGATGATTGTCTTTTTGGGGACAGGAATGATGGTGGAGTGTTTAAGACATGTGGGGACTACAGACTGCAGCAGGGACCTGTTGAAGATGTCTGTGAACACCTCTGCCAGCTGAACTGCACACACCCTGAGAACACGGCCAGGGATGCCATCAGGTCCAGGAGCCTTGTGTGGGTTAACCCTTTTAAAGGATTTACACACATCTGCCCTATTTAAAACAAAAGGGCAGTGTAGCTCCTGGTCCCTCTGTACCTCCACAGCCTGGCTGCTCTCAAAGCGTGCAAAAAACCTGTTCAGCTCATCTGGGAGAGATGCGCACGCAGACACTCCCGCAGCACCCCCCGCTGCTCCTTTGTAGTCAGTCATTGTCCTTAGTCCCGCCCACATATTCCTAGTGTTACAGCCTTTGAAGTCAGATTCCACCTTGTCTTTGTACTGTCTCTTTGCATTTTTAATTGCTCTCCGGAGATCATACCTAGACTTCCTGTACTCCTCCAAATCTCCCGCTGTGTGCGCGAGAGTGCGCGCTTTCAGTTTGCCGCGCACCTCACCGTTTACCCAGGGCTTTTGATTTGGGAATGTCCGTACAGAAACCTTCGGTACCACGTCATCGATGCATTTCCCAATGTAGCAGATGACAGTGTCCGTGTGTGTGTTGATGTTATTGTCCTCAAACACACTCCAATCCGTGGATGCAAAGCAATCCTGCAGTGCTGAATCTGACTCCTCGCTCCATCGTTGTACTGTCCTTGTTATCGGTCTGTCCCTTTTAAGTTTCTGCTTGTAAGCAGGCAACAACAGTAGTGAGATATGGTCTGATTTGCCGAAGGGAGGGCGAGGGAGAGCCTTATATCCATTCCGGAAAGGGGAATAAACATGGTCCAGTATGTTTCCCCCGCGCGTCGGGAAGTTGATGTGTTGGTAATATTTTGGCAAAACCTTCTTCATGTTGGCGGTGTTGAAATCTCCGGCCACAACGAACGCCGCATCTGGCCGTGAAGTCTCGGTTTTATCAATAAACCCAAACAGCTGATCGAGTGCCGTGTTGTTGTCGGCGAGTGGCTGCGGCGGGATATACACTGCTGTTATCACAACAGATGTGAATTCCCTCGGCAGATGGAAGGCCCGACATGAGATCATGAGGTGCTCTAGCTGAGCGGAACAGTCCGATGAAATAATCTTCACATCTGAGCACCAGTTGTTGTTAGTCATTACACACACACCGCCTCCCTTACTTTTCCCCGAGTTAGCAGTCCGGTCCTGACGAAAAATAGAGAATCCGTCAGGGACAATAGCGGAGTCCGGGATAGCGGGGTTGAGCCAAGTCTCAGTGAGAATTAACACGTTACAGTTCTTAATGTCCCGTTGAAAAGCAATCCGGCTTCTGAGTTCATCTAGCTTATTTTCAATGGATTGAACATTAGCCAGAAGAATACTCGGAAGAGGGGGCCGATTTTCTCGTTTTCTCAGTCATGGACAGCGTGCTAGCTAAATGCTAACAGCACCCTGACAGGTTAGCTGGTCTCTGGTTGTCTCTAAATGTCAGCTCTGTGGACCTTTGTCTTCTGTCAGTGAGAGTTATTATAAAGTGTCCACATGACCTCAGAATTCTGACTTTTTCCAAAATCTCCACAATTTGACTTTTCTCTCAAAATATAAAAATTCTGATTATTTTTCTCAAAATGACAAAAAGTTTCAGTTTAACTTGATTGTGAAAAAACTACTTTTTTTCTCAAATTCTGAATTTTTCTAATAATCTCAAACTTTGGACTTTTTCTCAAATAATTCATAAATCTCAACATTTTTACTTATTTCTGAAAATAATAATGAATAAACGAAAAAGCATGATGCTAGTGCTAACAGGAAGAGCTGAGACATAAGGGATTAAACAGGAAGTGGGGAAAGGGGCGGGTCTACACCAGGAGAAGGACGCCCTCTGATTGGTCTCTGCTTCATGGAGACAGGAAACAGGTCCGAGTGAGACGTCCGTCCTCTAAAGCATCTCTGCAGGGTCATATCCGGATGTGGAAGTTACTACAGAACAGAAACAGAAGTTAGAACTAGATCCTCTTCTTTACACAGAGGGGACACATGTCTCTTCTACATCAACATGTGTCCCCTCTGTGTAGAGACTCTCTCTCTACACAGAGGGGACACATGTCTCTTCTACATCAACATGTGTCCCCTCTGTGTAGAGACTCTCTCTCTACACAGAGGGGACACATGTCTCTTCTTCATCAACATGTGTCCCCTCTGTGTTCAGAGACTCTCTCTCTACACAGAGGGGACACATGTCTCTTCTACATCAACATGTGTCCCCTCTGTGTTCAGAGACTCTCTCTCTACACAGAGGGGACACATGTCTCTTCTACATCAACATGTGTCCCCTCTGTGTTCAGAGACTCTCTCTCTACACAGAGGGGACACATGTCTCTTCTACATCAACATGTGTCCCCTCTGTGTTCAGAGACTCTCTCTACACAGAGGGGACACATGTCTCTTCTACATCAACATGTGTCCCCTCTGTGTAGAGACTCTCTCTCTACACAGAGGGGACACATGTCTCTTCTACATCAACATGTGTCCCTTTAAAATCTCAACATTTTGACTTTTTAATAAAAATGGGAAAATTCTGACTTTTTTCTTTTTATCTAGACCCGGTCCAGAACCAGGGATCCAGAACCAGGGGTCCAGAACAAGGGGTCCAGTAGAATGAAGGTCCGTACCTTAGGAAGTCCGGGGCCTTGGAGACCATGTTCTCGAAGTCAGAGAAGGACAGCTTGTGGTCCCCGTCCAGGTCCGCCTCCTCCAGAGACTTATCACAGACCAGAGAGACCTCCTCGGGGCTCAGGTCCCCTTTAGTCAGCTTGGTCAGGGTTTTCTGCAGGTCCTCCTTACAGATGAAGCTGTCCCTGTTGAAGTCTGGACCAGAACCACAGGGTTAGAGACCAGAACCACAGGGTTAAAGACCAGAACCACAGACCAGAACCACAGGGTTAGAGACCAGAACCACAGGGTTAGAGACCCGAACCACAGGGTTAGAGACCAGAACCACAGGGATCCACAGGATTAGAGGCCAGAACCACAGACCAGAACCACAGGGTTAGAGACCCGAACCACAGGGTTAGAGACCAGAACCACAGGGATCCACAGGGTTAGAGACCAGAACCACAGGGTTACTCTGAGGAACTGGAATCAGTCCTGAGTCCTGAGTCCTGAGTCCTGAGTCCTGAGTCCAGATTCCAGAGTCCAGAGTCCTGAGACCAGAGTCCAGAGTCCTGAGTCCTGAGTCCTGACCTGAGTCCTGAGTCCTGAGCCCTGAGTCCTGAGTCCTGATCCCTGAGTCCTGAGTCCTGAGTCCTGAGTCCAGAGTCCTGAGACCAGAGTCCTGAGTCCTGAGTCCTGAGTCCTGAGTCCTGACCTGAGTCCTGAGTCCTGAGCCCTGAGTCCTGAGTCCTGAGTCCTGAGCCCTGAGTCCTGAGTCTTGAGACCAGAGTCCTGAGTCCTGAGTCCTGAGTCCAGAGTCCAGAGTCCTGAGTCCTGAGCCCTGAGTCCTGTGTCCTGAGCCCTGAGTCCTGAGTCCAGAGTCCAGAGTCCTGAGACCAGAGTCCAGAGACCTGAGTCCTGAGTCCTGAGTCCTGAGCCCTGAGTCCTGAGTCCTGAGTCCAGAGTCCTGAGACCAGAGTCCAGAGTCCTGAGTCCTGAGTCCTGAGTCCTGACCTGAGTCCTGAGCCCTGAGTCCTGAGTCCTGAGCCCTGAGTCCTGAGTCCTGAGTCCTGAGTCCAGAGTCCAGAGTCCAGAGTCCAGAGTCCTGAGACCAGAGTCCAGAGTCCAGAGTCCTGAGTCCTGAGTCCAGAGTCCAGAGACCAGAGTCCAGAGTCCAGAGTCCTGAGTCCTGAGTCCTGAGTCCTGAGTCCTGAGTCCTGACCTGAGTCCTGAGTCCTGAGTCTTTATTAAGTCGTCTCACCGTAGATCTTGAAGGCGTAGATGGTCTTGAGTTCTCGTGGACTCGTTTCACAGAAAGCGGAGAACATGTCCACGAAGTCGTTGAAGCTCATGCTCCCCAGTCCATCCTCGGAGAACGTCTCAACGATCCGGTCCCTGAACGGGTTCTCCTGCCGGGACAGAACCACAGAGAACCCTCTCATCAGAACATATAACAGATACTGATGTTTCATTCAACACAGAGAACTATATTATTATGTAACGGGACTGAAGCAGAGGATCAGAGGCGGGTAACAGTTTCTACTTTTCATATCAAACCGGACATTTCTAGGTCAAATCATTGAAAAAGTAGTAGTAGTCTTGCATTTAAATAACTGTTTGGATTTGTTCCAGTCAGGCTTTCGTCGAAAAACGTGTCCATGCTTTTATCTTCAGTAGACTCGACATCAGTCCGGTTCTGAAGTCTTTACACTGGTTCCTCACTGACACTAAGAAAGTGGATCACATCAGTCCAGTTCTGAAGTCTTTACACTGGTTCCTCACTGACACTAAGAAAGTGGATCACATCAGTCCGGTTCTGAAGTCTTTACACTGGTTCCTCACTAACACTAAGAAAGTGGATCACATCAGTCCAGTTCTGAAGTCTTTACACTGGTTCCTCACTGACACTAAGAAAGTGGATCACATCAGTCCGGTTCTGAAGTCTTTACACTGGTTCCTCACTGACTCTAAGAAAGTGGATCACATCAGTCCTGTTCTGAAGTCTTTACACTGGTTCCTCACTGACTCTAAGAAAGTGGATCACATCAGTCCTGTTCTGAAGTCTTTACACTGGTTCCTCACTGACACTAAGAAAGTGGATCAGTCCTGTTCTGAAGTCTTTACACTGGTTCCTCACTGACACTAAGAAAGTGGATCACATCAGTCCTGTTCTGAAGTCTTTACACTGGTTCCTCACTGACACTAAGAAAGTGGATCAGTCCAGTTCTGAAGTCTTTACACTGGTTCCTCACTGACACTAAGAAAGTGGATCACATCAGTCCGGTTCTGAAGTCTTTACACTGGTTCCTCACTAACACTAAGAAAGTGGATCACATCAGTCCAGTTCTGAAGTATTTACACTGGTTCCTCACTGACACTAAGAAAGTGGATCACATCAGTCCGGTTCTGAAGTCTTTACACTGGTTCCTCACTGACTCTAAGAAAGTGGATCACATCAGTCCGGTTCTGAAGTCTTTACACTGGTTCCTCACTGACACTAAGAAAGTGGATCACATCAGTCCGGTTCTGAAGTCTTTACACTGGTTCCTCACTGACACTAAGAGAGTGGATCACATCAGTCCGGTTCTGAAGTCTTTACACTGGTTCCTCACTGACACTAAGAAAGTGGATCAGTCCTGTTCTGAAGTCTTTACGCTGGTTCCTCACTGACACTAAGAGAGTGGATCACATCAGTCCGGTTCTGAAGTCTTTACACTGGTTCCTCACTGACACTAAGAAAGTGGATCAGTCCTGTTCTGAAGTCTTTACGCTGGTTCCTCACTGACACTAAGAAAGTGGATCAGTCCAGTTCTGAAGTCTTTACACTGGTTCCTCACTGACACTAAGAAAGTGGATCACATCAGTCCGGTTCTAAAGTCTTTACACTGGTTCCTCACTAACACTAAGAAAGTGGATCACATCAGTCCGGTCCTGAAGTCTTTACACTGGTTCCTCACTGACACTAAGAGAGTGGATCACATCAGTCCGGTTCTGAAGTCTTTACACTGGTTCCTCACTGACACTAAGAGAGTGGATCACATCACTCCTGTTCTGAAGTCTTTACGCTGGTTCCTCACTGACACTAAGAAAGTGGATCAGTCCGGTTCTGAAGTCTTTACACTGGTTCCTCACTGACACTAAGAAAGTGGATCACATCAGTCCAGTTCTGAAGTGTTTACACTGGTTCCTCACTGACACTAAGAAAGTGGATCACATCAGTCCGGTTCTGAAGTCTTTACGCTGGTTCCTCACTGACACTAAGAAAGTGGATCACATCAGTCCGGTTCTGAAGTCTTTACACTGGTTCCTCACTGACACTAAGAAAGTGGATCACATCAGTCCGGTTCTGAAGTCTTTACACTGGTTCCTCACTGACACTAAGAAAGTGGATCACATCAGTCCGGTTCTGAAGTCTTTACACTGGTTCCTCACTGACACTAAGAAAGTGGATCAGTCCTGTTCTGAAGTCTTTACGCTGGTTCCTCACTGACACTAAGAAAGTGGATCAGTCCAGTTCTGAAGTATTTACACTGGTTCCTCACTGACATTAAGAAAGTGGATCACATCAGTCCGGTTCTAAAGTCTTTACACTGGTTCCTCACTGACACTAAGAAAGTGGATCACATCAGTCCGGTTCTGAAGTCTTTACACTGGTTCCTCACTGACACTAAGAAAGTGGATCACATCAGTCCGGTTCTGAAGTCTTTACACTGGTTCCTCACTGACACTAAGAGAGTGGATCACATCAGTCCGGTTCTGAAGTCTTTACACTGGTTCCTCACTGACACTAAGAAAGTGGATCAGTCCTGTTCTGAAGTCTTTACGCTGGTTCCTCACTGACACTAAGAAAGTGGATCAGTCCAGTTCTGAAGTCTTTACACTGGTTCCTCACTGACACTAAGAAAGTGGATCACATCAGTCCTGTTCTGAAGTCTTTACACTGGTTCCTCACTAACACTAAGAAAGTGGATCACATCAGTCCGGTTCTGAAGTCTTTACACTGGTTCCTCACTGACACTAAGAAAGTGGATCACATCAGTCCGGTTCTGAAGTCTTTACACTGGTTCCTCACTGACACTAAGAGAGTGGATCACATCAGTCCTGTTCTGAAGTCTTTACACTGGTTCCTCACTGACACTAAGAAAGTGGATCACATCAGTCCGGTTCTGAAGTCTTTACGCTGGTTCCTCACTGACACTAAGAAAGTGGATCACATCACTCCGGTTCTGAAGTCTTTACGCTGGTTCCTCACTGACACTAAGAGAGTGGATCACATCACTCCTGTTCTGAAGTCTTTACACTGGTTCCTCACTGACACTAAGAAAGTGGATCACATCAGTCCGGTTCTGAAGTCTTTACGCTGGTTCCTCACTGACACTAAGAGAGTGGATCACATCAGTCCGGTTCTGAAGTCTTTACACTGGTTCCTCACTGACACTAAGAGAGTGGATCACATCAGTCCGGTTCTGAAGTCTTTACACTGGTTCCTCACTGACACTAAGAAAGTGGATCAGTCCAGTTCTGAAGTCTTTACACTGGTTCCTCACTGACACTAAGAAAGTGGATCAGTCCTGTTCTGAAGTCTTTACACTGGTTCCTCACTGACACTAAGAAAGTGGATCACATCAGTCCTGTTCTGAAGTCTTTACACTGGTTCCTCACTGACACTAAGAAAGTGGATCACATCACTCCTGTTCTGAAGTCTTTACGCTGGTTCCTCACTGACACTAAGAGAGTGGATCACATCAGTCCGGTTCTGAAGTCTTTACGCTGGTTCCTCACTGACACTAAGAGAGTGGATCAGTCCAGTTCTGAAGTCTTTACGCTGGTTCCTCACTGACACTAAGAAAGTGGATCACATCAGTGCGGTTCTGAAGTCTTTATACTGGTTCCTCACTGACACTAAGAGAGTGGATCAGTCCAGTTCTGAAGTCTTTACACTGGTTCCTCACTGACACTAAGAAAGTGGATCACATCAGTCCAGTTCTGAAGTCTTTACACTGGTTCCTCACTGACACTAAGAAAGTGGATCAGTCCAGTTCTGAAGTCTTTACACTGGTTCCTCACTGACACTAAGAAAGTGGATCAGTCCTGTTCTGAAGTCTTTACACTGGTTCCTCACTGACACTAAGAAAGTGGATCACATCACTCCTGTTCTGAAGTCTTTACGCTGGTTCCTCACTGACACTAAGAGAGTGGATCACATCAGTCCGGTTCTGAAGTCTTTACGCTAGTTCCTCACTGACACTAAGAAAGTGGATCAGTCCAGTTCTGAAGTCTTTACACTGGTTCCTCACTGACACTAAGAAAGTGGATCACATCAGTCCAGTTCTGAAGTCTTTACACTGGTTCCTCACTGACACTAAGAAAAGTGGATCAGTCCAGTTCTGAAGTCTTTACACTGGTTCCTCACTGACACTAAGAAAGTGGATCAGTCCTGTTCTGAAGTCTTTACACTGGTTCCTCACTGACACTAAGAAAGTGGATCACATCACTCCTGTTCTGAAGTCTTTACGCTGGTTCCTCACTGACACTAAGAGAGTGGATCACATCAGTCCGGTTCTGAAGTCTTTACGCTGGTTCCTCACTGACACTAAGAGAGTGGATCAGTCCAGTTCTGAAGTCTTTACGCTGGTTCCTCACTGACACTAAGAAAGTGGATCACATCAGTGCGGTTCTGAAGTCTTTATACTGGTTCCTCACTGACACTAAGAGAGTGGATCAGTCCAGTTCTGAAGTCTTTACACTGGTTCCTCACTGACACTAAGAAAGTGGATCACATCAGTCCAGTTCTGAAGTCTTTACACTGGTTCCTCACTGACACTAAGAAAGTGGATCAGTCCAGTTCTGAAGTCTTTACACTGGTTCCTCACTGACACTAAGAAAGTGGATCAGTCCTGTTCTGAAGTCTTTACACTGGTTCCTCACTGACACTAAGAAAGTGGATCACATCACTCCTGTTCTGAAGTCTTTACGCTGGTTCCTCACTGACACTAAGAGAGTGGATCACATCAGTCCTGTTCTGAAGTCTTTACCCTGGTTCCTCACTGACACTAAGACAGTGGATCACATCAGTCCAGTTCTGAAGTCTTTACACTGGTTCCTCACTGACACTAAGAAAGTGGATCACATCAGTCCAGTTCTGAAGTCTTTACACTGGTTCCTCACTGACACTAAGAAAGTGGATCACATCACTCCTGTTCTGAAGTCTTTACACTGGTTCCTCACTGACACTAAGAAAGTGGATCACATCACTCCTGTTCTGAAGTCTTTACGCTGGTTCCTCACTGACACTAAGAAAGTGGATCACATCACTCCTGTTCTGAAGTCTTTACGCTGGTTCCTCACTGACACTAAGAGAGTGGATCACATCACTCCTGTTCTGAAGTCTTTACACTGGTTCCTCACT